AGAGAATTCAATTAATTCAGGAAAGATTACACACAGCTCAAAGTAGATAGAAAAGTTATGCGGACAGAAGGAGAAGACCGTTGGAATTCTAAGTGAGAGACTATGTGTTTCTCAAGGTGTCACCCAAGAAGGGAGTGTTCTGTTTTGGTAAGAAAGGGTTGTTAGCTTCACGGTACACCAGACCATATGAAGTGATCAAAGCTGTGGGTAAAATAACGTATCAACTTAGGTTACCAGCACAATTGTCAAGAGTGCACAACATGTTTCATGTAACAATTTGAAGAAAGTGAAAATTCGATACAGTGCATGTTCATCTTCATATAGTGATGCAATTATTTTTGTATTTCTTATATATGTGATGACGTAGAAATAAATTGAGGATGGATAAACTATGAATATAGTGATTATCGAAAAAATTAAGATATGTTGAGGAACTTGAAGTTTCGGGATGGTCACTCATAGGAGAAATGTATGTAGTTTAGTTTTAAATATATTTAGAGTGAAATAAATAGGTCAAAAATTGAGCCAGAAGTCAGGGCTAGTGACCACCATCAGAACGGTGAAGTGTCATTCGAACAATGCTTTGATACAAGTTTTCATTCGAATGCATATCAACTGTTCAAATGCCACAGGGGGTTGGAGAATTACAGAGGGTTTCCATTGTCTGAATGCATGGGGTCAACTCGAATGGTGTCTTTGATGATACAAGCGTCTGTTCAAACGCATACCAACTATTCGAATGCGCGCGCGTCTGATATTGTTGCTTTCGTTTGAACGCATAATAGCCATTCGAACGCACCTCCCCAATCCATTTAGCATTTTTCTTCTTTGATTTTAGGTTCATATAAATAACTATGGGCGGGTTTTAGTCTATTTTCCTTACTATTTCAACCCTAGAAAGCTAGAGGTAGTTGGGGAGAAAAAAGAGAGAGATAGTTTGATGGATTAACACGAGGAATCACAAAAAAATCATGTAAGATCAAATTCTACCAGAATCACAGTAGGAGATTCTTCTTGAGTTCTTTTATTGAGACTTAGGGTATTATTTATGTATGTTTTAAAACTTCTTGTTTATTGTATGCTAAATTATCGTTTTTCTTAATTTGCTTTTGATTAATATGTTGTGTAAAATAATATATATGTTTTGCATTCAAGAAGTATCGTTCTTAAATTGTTGAAACCCTAGTTTTTTTTTCCCTAAATACATGTCTATTGTGAAAGACCTATTGATTATTAATTTCTAAATTTCCTATTATCGATTAAATTAGGTTTTCAATCAACTACTTGTTCTTATTCCAAGAAATTAAAATTTTAACAAAACTCAAGAATTTTAATATCGAAATTGTGAAGGTTTTCTTGATATGATCTCATGCATATTTTAATTCATTTATTACTTTAGTATATTAAGAATTGTGAAATTGTGATATTTAAATTTTTACAGAGATTGTAATTGGCTGGGATTGTAGTTGTTGAGAAAATTGTTATTTCATCTCTTATATGATTTGAGTGTGACGGACCTAAATTGTCCTCAAAAGCAGCCGTAGAGTGTTAGAGGTTAGTGGTTGCCCAACACTAGTAGTGAATTTTCAAAAGTGTTTTCCTCAATGCATTGGTAAAGTAAAAATAAAGTCTTCTTATCTTTCTTCCTTGATTGCTTAAACACACTTTTTTTTAGCATCATTCAATGCTTGTTCTTAGTTCATAGTTGGCTTGTTGTAACCCTTTTCAACAATTTTTCAAAGGTCTTGTGATTGTAGCAACACCTTAATTTGAATACTCTAATTCCCATAATTGTCTTTACCCAATTTGGGAAATTGGGGTTGAAGCACATTACTCATGATAGCCAAATCCTTTCAAGAACACCACAAGAAAAAAACCCAAATTCCAAGCCCTAGCTTTAAATCAAATCTCAAAAACCAAAGTCCTAGGTTCAACACAAATAACAAATTCAAAACCTCAGGTTCAACAAAAAAATCCCAAATTTCAGAAGCTTGCTTTGATACCAATTTTGCTGGGTATGGGAAGTAAATTATATCACCAAAGAAACACAAAATCACAGTAATTTCAACACAAAATCAAGCATAAAACAGGGACAAAAATCTGCTACAGTACCATACCAATTCCATTAAAAGAAACACCTCTATATTTCATCAAAAATGATTACAATATCAAGAAATACAAAGGGGAAAGCTATTCTGATTTTTCCAGCAAGAAAAACAAACAACGTAAGCTATCAAAAACTCACAAACGGAGCTTCTGCTCCGGAGACACTTGTTTCGTTTTTGGACAACAACTCCCTATTTTTTCCTTCTGATTTTTCTACCAAAACGTCTCTTTTTCTTCTCTATTTTCTGGACATAATTCTCTCTATTTTGGGTAGCAGTTCTTTACCTTTTACACTCTATTTTACATGTTGTAAACTGACTTTACTAAGCAACCTTCGTCGGTTCCTTCTCACAGTAGAATCCGGCTTCCATGTTGTCGTGCACCAACTAACTTTCTCATGACTCTCGACTCTTCTAATGGCTGCCCCTTCAACTTTTCTAAAGCCAACTATCTTGACCTTTTGTAAATCAACTAACAAGTGCTACCCCTTAAATGCACAAAAGACCCTAAGAATGCTTAAATATCAACTAACAACATAACTTTTCAATATTAAAACATAAGCCCAAAAAGTAAAATACCAAAAATACCCATTAAAGAATTGGGTTTATAAAACTAACAATTTGGTGGTTTCACTTTTATGGAGTTAATTTGATATTCAAATAGAAGAATGGTATTTCATCATTTTAAATGTGTGTATTCTTTCTTTGAGCTTTCCATGCTCACTCTTTCTAGTGTAATGTTTCAGGAAATCAATGCGACGAGTGGAGTCTATTCCTGAGTCTAGGAGGTCATGGGGGATGTCAACATGGAGTCTTTTTGTTTTTTTGTTTTTTTTGGCTGTAGCACTTGAACATTAGCATTTGTAAATGAAATTGGTGGTTTGTAAATGTGTGTGACTCTACGGAGAGTGACTATCTCAACGATTTTAAAGACGTGGGTTTATATGCATATGTCTAGGTTAAAGGGTTTTATTTTAAGTATATGAGATTCCATTTTTATTAATAAATAAAAGTACAACCCTGAGTTGGGACGTTACAGTATATACTAGACCTAAGACTTATAAGTTTTTCATGAAAATAGTAATAGTTTAAGGAGTGAAATACCAAACTTTCCCAACATATTTTAGAAAAGGGATACCAAAGAAATGGCATAAGCAAAAGCATATGTAAAGATAGGTGTAGCTGAGGATAAATGCAAAGAGGACCCAAAGCAAGTTGCATTGATTTGGATAAACATAGTTAATACTGCTATTTTGGATATTCAAATCCAAAAGCATCTTTCTTTACAGGTACGAAAAAGGAGAAAAGCTTTTTACAGGCACATCATCGGTAAAATATATTCTTGGGTGAGAACATGGATCCCTATAAAAGAGGGAACCATATAGATTGGTTGGGTTTAGGTTCTTATTCCTTTATCATTTGAAGTTTCTAAGTGCAATGGAGTAATCAAAACAATAGAAAAAGATAAAGTTTATATAATCATATGAAGGATTCTATTATGGCACTGAAAAGTAACTGTATCTCAAATTTTCATCTAATAAGATTCTGTCACTTATAATTTTTTTATTTTATATTACTTCACCTACTACTCTAATTAACTTGGTTATGGTACCCACATTTTTATTTATCAGGCAAAGTTGACATAAATAAACTCCAAAAGGCTATGGAAAAGATAATGCACAAAACTCCTAAGAATTGATTTATCAATCGTTAATTTTCTTCTAAGTTTTGCTCTTCTTGTAAATTCGGAAGGGGCCTTATTTCTTAGACTAGAAATTTAAAATTCCTTTCCACGTACAGTGTCATACTCTTGGACTTTTTGATGTCCTTCTAAATTTAAAAATAACTTTATTTTTCTTCTAATCTTCTGGAGTGTTAAGCCTGACAATTTCAATAGAACATAAGTACGAACAATGAATTTATGATGATGACGGGATTTTATTGGAATATATGGTGGATTATTAAGCCAATTGAATTTATATGTTGACACCAACTTCTAAATTCAACATTTACGTTTCATATGTAAATTTCAAATAAATTCATCAAGTATGTGGATCATTTAAATTCAAGTTTAAATGTACAGAAATCAAAACACTGCAAGAAAAAAGACATTTATCGACGTTTATTAAACGCAGGTAAAATGTAAATAAACGCCGTAAAATATTATTGTTGTTACGACGTCGAAAAAATTATCGGCGTATAATTAAACATCACAAAAATTAAAGTGATGTTTACTAAGCACTTAAGCGACGTTTATTCAATTGACGGCTTCCTTGTAAAATTTCGGTAATCGGAGTTATGTTACGACATTTATTTAAACGCCAGTTATTATTATTTCTGGTTTTCTTGTTTCTGGCATTTAAATAAATGCCGGTAATGATAATTAATATTTTTTTTTCATAATAAAATCTAACTCATTGCATTTTCACTAAAATGATAATTTTAAATATTCAGGATTCTCCACCAAATGAAAAATTGATAGTCAAGCTATTAACAATACCTTTTATATATACATACATATATATATATGTATATATATGAACAAAACAGCATTACAAGAAGCAAAGGAGAAAGACAAACCAATCTCCATAACAAAAGCCAGGAATTAAACTAAAACCAGGAAAAAACTACTCCATCAGACATCAAAGACCAAATCAGCCCGTATCATCAAAAGCAACGGTCCTCTTTTTTTGAAGCACAGGTAATCCTCTGCCTCAGTGCTTCCATCTTTTTTTTTTTTAACACAAAACCAATCATTACAAGAAGCAAAGAGGAAAACCACATAGGACCTCCTATTCCATAAACAAAAAACAAACAGAAAACCAAATCTAAAGATTACAGGCCAGCTCCCAAAACAGTGAGCAGAAACATCACTCTTATAGCTACCTCCAACCACTAACAGCAGTAAAACAGGCCGGCAACAGCTTTCACAGCAGTAATCTGAACTGACCTCACCTTCCAGCCAATAAAAATGACCTGTTTCAAACAAATCAACACTAAAAAGTACAGGCACAAACTCATCATCCAAGCAACCACAATTACCCTTGATCATCATAAACCAAAACTCCCCTCTTTCTTAGGATAGGTAAATTTTATGTGGCTCTTGTAATTATTTTGATTAGAAATTAATAAATTAATAATTTTATAGGCAAATCCAACAAAGAAGCCGTCCAAGTTGTGTTTTTTTTTGGCACTTGTTGTGTTTCTAAAATGTTGACTTGTACATGTCAACCAGTATCCCAGGGATTAATGGGTAGGCCTCTCTCTCTCTCTCTCTCTCTCTCTAATGCTTTCCGTAGTTAGTTAAACTTACATAGTATCCATGAAGCAATTCTTAGAATTATATAATTTATCCCATTTTCTTCACTGTCAAAGCTCCCACCCATGAACAGTTGTCCAAATCATGATATGAGTACCCTGTCATATAGAGTTGTGTCCAACTCGAATTCATGGAGTGTAATCTACCATTAAGAGAATAGTATACTATTTGTGATCAAAATGTGACATATCAAAACAATAACTCAGAATATCAAAAAACCATAAGAAAAATATATTAGTGTCTTTCCTTCGAATTCCATATATATGTGTGTATTTTTTTTTAGTAGTCAATTGATAGGCTTCTCAAAGGGAACAAAACACAAATCCAATTTCAGCACTAAGATTACCTGGAGATTATTCACTACCTTCTACTTCTTCAAATCTTAGTGGTGGACAGATCCATGGCATAGAAGAGGGAGCGTCACTTGGGCAAGAATTTCGCTGCATGATTATTAACACGCTGTAATTTCGCTCTCTTTTGTCGATGAACCTTCATTTGATATTGGATACGAAATCAATTGAATCAGACCAAAGTAATTGCAACAAGATTAATACTAGTCAACAAACTCATGTAATATTTGAGCTACTATTCCATTTATTGACTCACCTGACTAAATGAAGATGATCTAGAATGACCTTGAAACTCTGTATCTTGCATTGCCAGACTTCTTGACTCACTCCTCATTGATGATCGATGAGAGTTTATATTATGATTACTAGATGCATCAGGTACCTTTTAAGATTGTAAATACTTAATATTCATGGAGAAAAATAATACAATAATACAATAACTCTTTTAACTCAAAATATAAGTCGATGAAGTTTTTATTACCTTTTCAACTTGAAATGGATCTGTGTTTTTGCGAACTGGTTCGGCAATATGCATACCCATTGCATGCATTTGAACGAGAAAAACCTCAAAGTGTCTTTGTTGAGCCTTAAACTTAGCTTCCATCTGACTCATTTACTTCTCCATTTGTGCCTGCTGAGCCTCCATCTCTGCCATGTCTGCTCAATTACTCATCTAATTGGGACTGCATTGCTTTCATCTCTTCTAATTTTTTATGTCCAAACACATCTCTTAGAGATGGTCCAAAACCATATGTTCTAACAGTCTAGGTCGCTCTGGTCCCATGACTTGAGTGAAAATTTCATCTACTGCAGATGAATATTGCATAGAAGACTCTGGCATTTGTGACACAATTTCTGGCGTTTGATTTAAATGTCGGAAATTAAGCAGAATTTTTTTTTAATTATTTTTTATAAATAATTTCTGGCATGTATAAACAAACGCCAGTTTTAGTGGCGTTTAAGTTAAACGTTAGAAATTAAATGCCGCATTTTTCCATCTTTCTTGTAGTGAAATTAATGTATTTATGAATGTATGCGAAACTTGAACCATCACATCAAAGGGTGCACTTTTCTCCAAACTGAATAAGACATGATTTAAGTTGCATGCAACCAAGGGCGGATGTGTCAGGGTAGACACAAATATTTCAATAAATTATTATTTTTTTCTCACAATTAATAGAAATAGGACAATAAATTATTTAATTACATCCTATTTAATACTTAAAAGTTCATTAAACCTACCATACCAAAATTTGGTAATCTTAATATATACAAACGATAACATTTTTTTTACAAAATATTTACTAATTAAAATTATTTAAAATTGATTTCGGTGAATTTTTGTACTTTTAAAATGTTGCATAACAACTTTATTATTCTTTAGAAATGATGGTGTATTTTAACGTGATGCAATTTTGTGTTGACGAGTAAATGAAAGAAACAATATTAGAATTATTGGGATCTGAGCTACTAGACTCGAGGGAATGATACTGAGAATTGTTGAGGAGTTTGGAGAATTAACAGTAGAAATATAGTGGTTTACCAGTTCGGGAGCTCGGCTAATCCACTCTTCAATGGAGATTCTTGCTCCTTCATTCACTATTTACTATACCAAAAAGTTTACAGAATGTAAGATGTAATACTAGGGTTCTGTCCCTCTGTTGGCGGCGTTACATAGTACTTCTAGGGGTGACCCTTAATCTATGGGATCTGATCCGTGATCCTAGCCATCTATCTAAGGAATTCTCCTTGATCTTAGGAGATTATCTTAGTTGGTTGAGGATTTTGTGCCTTGAGTGTTACTTCAAACCGTCTGTCGAGTTCTTTGTAGTATTCAGTTGCGTCCTTATTGCTTCAGCTTATTATCTCACTTGAGGGGAGCTCTAGCTCTAATTTTCTGAGCTCTGCATAGCTCTGACTTTCTGAGCACAGCATACCCTGACCTCCATGTTTGACCTCTGTTCCCGAGCTCCTGCTCGCTCTGGTTTTTTGAGCTCTGCATAGCTCTGACTTTCTGAGCTCAGCATACCTGACCTCCGTTCTCTAGCTCCTGCTCAGGAATCATTCTGAGTATCATCAGTTGCCCCCCAGCTCTTGGCCGAGCTGGCTCGGGCAAGGGTTGAACTTAGGATGTAACAGTAATGGCTTCCCAATCAGCGACTTCAAAATTTTTGCGGGAATATGTATTTATTATTATTATTATTATTTATTTTTAAAGCGGTTGTCAGTAATTATTTCCTTCCTCGTTCCTTGCACACTTTGCCCGTTTTGAGGCCCACGGTACCGTTAGCTTTAAATACCCTTGGATCACCGATTTGCTCCTCACTTTACAGATCCTTTTCAGCTTCCTTATCCTTTCACGACTTCATCTTCCCCATTCTACCACTGGTTTTAGGGTTTTCTCTGCGGAACGGTTTCCCCAATTTTGACTTGGAGGCTTAGCGTGATTTGGTTTCGAATCCCTTCCTCGAGTTTTAATTCGTCACCAATTCGCAGTTAGATACGTTTTCCCCGCTCCTTGCCCTGGATCCCTCAAGTCTGAGATGGTTTTGACATTTTTGGGCCTTTCGATTTTGCTACTCTAGGAGCCGAAGTATTCCCCTGTCTCGTCTTTCTCTCTTCTTGGACCCTTACTCCATAGTTAGGATTTTTGCCGTTGGTTTTTGGTGTCTTTCTCTTTGGGCTCTCAAAAAGTGTTTCTCCGAGGTCCCCCCTCTTTATAGGTCTTTTAAGCTTCCTTATTATTGTCTAGCTATATCTGCTTCCTCTGAAGCCACAGGATCGTCTGTTTCACTAATGAAAGATGGGTCCGTTGAGGAAGATTTCGACCTGGGGGATGTGGGGTTAGAGATAGATAATTTTTCCGGAGTGGATTCTGTCAATGTCGAGAAAGGCACTGAGGAGCCTCCTCCTACCTTGAAATCTCCCAGCAAAGGCAAAACCAAAGTAAGTGGCGTGGGAATTTCAAGTAGTGCTAAGGGTGGTGTTGCTGCCCCTAGGGCCTCCGAGCTCGTGTGGTGTAGTGACATCGTTCCTTCTTACACGAGGGTGCTGGCTGCCCGCTTTGGATTTTCTCAAGGCCTCCAGTTCTGGAGTCCGGATATGTTTACCTTATACGATTCCTTTATCCCTAAAAAAGTGTGCTTCTTCCTGGTTGCTTTTGAGAACGACCTCCGCTTTCCCCTACATCCCTTCATCAAAAATGTTTTACAACATTTCAATGTCTGTCCTGCCCAGCTTTCTCCTAACTTTTGGGAGTGCTGGTTGGTTTTCTTGTCTTCTTTAAGAGACATGATCTGGGTGTCCCCACCGTGTCTTTGCTTATAAAATTCTTCAATGTCAAATATCTCCCCACTGATGGCTTTTTGTACATCTCTAAACGAGTGAAAGACAAGGTTCTTATCTCTGATTTTTTGAGCTCCCACAAACATTGGAAAAAAATCATTCTTTTTTGTGTGGGGGAGGGAATGGGAGTTCAATCCTGTCGACGTGACGGACACTCTTCATGTCCCTCGGGGGTGATCTGCCCCTGATAATTTGGGTGAGCTTCTTTTTATGCAAGTTGGAATAAGTTCTAGCTTTCCCTTAGGCTGACCTTGTTTAGCTAGTTTCGTTTCTCAGACATCCAGCCAGATCTCAGTGCTGCAGACGAACAGGTCCTGAGGAACTTGGCAACCTGCAAATCAGAGAAATATTCAGAGCTAATCCGACCTCAAGTCCTTGTGAGGCTTGGGTTTAGTCCTCCTGAAGTGAGGGTAAAAAATCCATCTCCTCTTTCTGCCATTAGTGCTGAGGAATTGACAGGTATTGCCCCTTTCACCTCTGCCCTTGCCTTTTACCTCTTTTCCTCCCTCCCCCCTTTTTTTTCTTTTTTTTTTGGACAGTTTTTTCTCAATTTTTTCAAGTTCTTCCTTAATGGAGCCTACTGTGAAGGATCGCTCTGATAAATTATCTATGATGAGGAAGACTCGGGCTGGAAGCAAACGTAAGGTTGAGGTCAGCCAAGGGGTGATCCAATTTTTGAAGTCAAAACTCTGAGATTGGAATCGTCCTCTATAACTCAAATGGGGCCCCAATCCTCTTTTGGCTTTCCGGAGGTTGTAAAGAGCTCTTTTCCTCAGAAGACGGGACTACCCTCCTCTGGTAAGGTCCCTGACCTAAGCTTGGTTTCCACCCCTCCCTCTTTAGGTGAGGTCGAAAAACCTTTGAAGATGGTTTCTCACCTCTTGCCTGGATCCATCCCTTCTTGCCCAACTGTGGGGCCTCCTCAGAAGGCTTTTGGGATATGTAAGCATGAAAAAGGGGGGAATGCAGAAACAAGTTTGAGTTCTTTGATTGATAATGTGAAAAGAGTTGCAGAGACCATTACTTCCATTCTCCCCAAATCTGATATCCAGCGAGCTTCCACCATGCCTCTTGGGAGCTCTATATCTTCCGCTCTTTTCGCTGCTACCTCCATAAGTTTTATGTTTTATGTGCATACATGTTTTGTTCATTTTGCTCCTTCTCATCTGACCTTTTCTCACTTTCAGATTGCTTTCCATGTCAGTGGCTCCTGAAGAGGATCCAAGCTATAGAAGGTTCAGTTAAAGCTTCCAAGGCTTTTGAACTCAAGGTTACCGAACTGTCCTTTGAGAACAGTGACCTCAAGGCCCAGGTGTAGGACTTATAAGAGCAGGTGGAGAAGCAGATCTCCTTAAATAAGAGTCTGGAAGATATGAGGGAGAAGATTGGACGCGAGGGAAAGAGCTGCAAAAAGGAACTTAAGAAAACAAAGGAGGAGCTCAGGAAAACCTCAGGGGAACTTAAGCAGAAAATAGATGATTGGCTCAGAGCCAACCGGGAGTCTCTCGAAGCTTTAAGTTCCTTTCAAACTATGAAGAGAGAATATGACATTATTGCGGAGATGAGTAACGTCCTCCGGAATGAACTCGAGGTGGCGAGGGCAGCTGTCGAGGAAAAAGATTGCTTAATTGCCAAACTGGCTGATGATGTCACAACTCAGTGGGCCTCTGGGTGGCTTGATTTTCAGGACAGGGTTGAAGAGATCTACCCCAAACTGGATTTCAATTTTGATCCCCCCGCTGAGGACAAGGCGGCCGACTCTGAGCTTAACAATGTTCCCCCTCCTGCTCCTAAGGTTGTTTCCTTCTCAGCCGACCTCGTCTCCGAGGCAATGGCCTTGAGCTCATCTCCAGCAGAGTTCGAGATTCCTGCCTTAAAAACTCTTGAGATTCCTCTTTCTCTACCTACTCCAGGACCTACAATGATATTGACTACCAAGGTTCTATCCCCTTCCTCGGTGGAGGTTTCAAATTTTCCAGCTACTTTTTCTGCCGAGCTCCTAGGCTCCCAATTTGCTCACGTTGCCGAAACTTTAACTTCTGAACTACAGAACCCTTCCCCAAATCCACCTTCAGAGACTTAGGATTTTATTTTGAAATATGATCAAAAATTTGTAACTATGAGCTCATTTTAAAAATGTAACTTCTCTGGTTTTGAGTTGTACAACTGACTCACAGCTTTCTGAACTGCAGTTACGGTACACTGACTCCTATGAGACTATGCCTTTGAATTTTCATCTTTAGTTGTGCTCTAGCTGTGCGTTTTACT